AGTTATCATTTGATTGTCCAGGCTTTTGCTGTGTTACTAAGCTGATGTAGCTCAGTGCTGCTCTTGTTTTTTTAAATAAAGGACTCAACAACATATCTTTTATTTCTCCCATCCGTTTTTTTAAACTACACATTTTCAACTAGCTATAAATTACAGCTGCTTTCTGGATGTATTTTTAAATAAAACTTATAAATATAAACTTGCTTGTTCCTACATGATCACAGTTAAACCGCTAAAAGATTAGTCATCTTATTCCCTCATGTTTATTAGGCATGCTTGGCACTGCAGTGTCCTCCAGCCATCCAGGAGTTCTCTTGCCACTTGAGCAGGGTTTTTTATCGTTCAAACCCCCCACTGATCCCTCAGTGGGCATCCACAGCAACGCTGTGTCTGGCAGTCACCAAGACATTGATATCATCCCACGTCCAGAAGAGGTTAAGGTTAGTCACACTCTGTTCAGCGGTGGATGAGGAGTGTTGCTATATATTACTGTGATGTTTAAATAGTAAATACTGATGCCATGTTTATATTGAATATACGATATAACATATGGCATCATTTACTTTGGGATTAATAAAGTATTCTTATTCTGATAATGTCAATGTTTTCTGTGCGTGTGTGTTTTGACTCTCTGCTTAATACACCCCTGATTAATTGTCAGAAGAGAGACAAAACACATTTTAAGTTAAAATGTTAATTTCAAATTAAACAAAAATATATGTCTATATTGTATATAAAACAAATTTTATAATATCAGAATTAACCATATGTAGTGAAAACTTGGTATTGACACAGCTCCGTAGTTCATAATGTCAAGCTTCCGGTTAGCAGAATCTGACTCTGTGTGTGCTTTTGTTTTGTTTTCTGGTTGCGCAGGAGAGGATAAAAAATGCAAGGTTTGGCCGGGATAAGAACAGGCTGGATCAACAAGATGGCCCGATAAGTCATGGGCAGTATTCAACAGATCAGATTCGCCACCGTGTCAGGAAGATGCTGTCTGATTCACCAACAGAGGAAAATGGAGCATTAGTCATTAAAGGCAAGAGAAAGTGTTTGAAACTTATGAATCTCTAATCTCATCATAAATGCCTTTTATTTTGTATTTAACAAATGTGATGCATTTTTGTGACAGAAGATAAGTTTAATTTTAACCTTTAATTTCTTTAAAATAAATGTTCTGGTTATGGTAAAAAAAAAAAAATCCATTTTTGCAGATAGCTTTAAGTATTTTATAACTATCTCATATAGCACTTTTTTTTTTTATTAATCTATACACGTCAGCTTTGTGTCCGCTGCACCCTTGGGCATACTGAACTCCCAAAACAACATAACTGTTTTGCACAATGGCCTAAAGAGTAAACAGCATGTATTAGTGTTGATTTGCTCCACAGTCCGATCATCCTATCACATCCCCCTGTGGGATTTCAGATGACTGATGGCATCCCCAACAGGGCAAGGGGAGGAGAGAAGGTTAATGTGCAGCTGTTAGGGTGGAGGTATCCACCCAACGTAATGCAAAATGTGTGGCTCAACCACACAAAGCTCAGTGGAGCATGCATGAGAGAGAAACACACACCGGGAATTTCTTATTACCAACATAAAGAGATCTTTAAACATTGACATAAAACAACATAATTAAAGTGGACAGATGTCAGTTAAAGAGCTAAAACATTGTTGACTCATTAAGTTTGCCAACTGTACTGTTTTACCTTAGACCTACAGTACAGACTCGTGCAGTCTGTTTGTGTAAGTGCAAAATGTCTCACTTGCCTCTCTTCCACTCCTCATTGTTTCCTGCCCACACACAGCAGAGTTTCTCCATCAAAAACTCCTGGTGGGGAAAAATTATGGTGATGATCAATGAGTGTCTTCAAGTGCCCACTCACAGTTAGCTCTAATTTAAACCAGCATCTTCTGTTTTCTCACATTGGATGATGACGGATCATTGTGGAGGCCACACACGCGCGCGCACACAAATTTCATAGCATGCAGAAGCCCAGGCATGTGCACAACAAAGTGTTTTGTTGAAAGTGTGAGTTATATATAGAGCGGTGACAATATGAATCACAATAATGATATTATTACTTTAACGCACAAATTGGGAAAAGAACTAAAAACCCTAACAAACCCTAACATGCATGTGGCACTTTTAACTCACTAGTGCCATTGTTGTTGTTGTTGTTGTTGTTTTGTTTTTTAAATGACATTAAGAAGTTTTCCCAGGATTCATTTTATTCTCAGTCCAGAAGAGACTCTCAAAGCTAGTGTACGAGGGGTACTACTTGTTCTCTCACACGAGGGACACACTTAACTAGTTTAGATGTTTTTAATAATAAAGAAAAAAAAAGCCTTTTGCTCAGCAGTGCTGCTTTCAGCCACTAATGTAGGTGGTAAGTTTCCTGTGTGCCTGAATTACAGAAGCCTGTCACTTTAACAGATTTGTTATGTTTTGCATGTGTTTAATATGTTCAAATTTTTGTGTCTGGTGATTCAAACGTTATTCTTCTCTGTTGCAGATCTGCATATGAACGGCAGCACAGTGACATCTAAAGCAGACCCTGTCTCTGATGAGTCTCTTGTCACCAGTCCTGACACTCCCCAAGGACCCCAAAGCCCAATTAAGTGCTTTACTCCACCCCACCAGCCCAGCCCCCCTACAGTTCCACCCAACCCTAAAAATGTGTCCCGTCTTAGGAGGGCACCTAGCCTGAGCAGAACCCGTCCTTCACTGTCCCACAGTTCAGGTGAGTTGATCTTAAAAACCAAGCATTTGTAGACTTTTACTACATGCTGCATAATCTTTGTTGCACACAGAAAGATATTGTCCCTGTTTAACAATACTCAGTAATATTATAATGATACAAACCATTGCTATAACAGGCCTTTGTTTATAGAAAATGTTGGAACATTAATTAATTAAACCTCTAGGGCCATCAGAGAATGGGTGAATAAGATGTTTGCTCTGGGTAATGTGCTTCAATACTTTGTTTTGACAACCTGCTGTTAATGCACCGCCACCCACACACACACACCCACATACACACACACACTGTTTTCAGCCTGATTGAGACGTAACATGAGACTGAATCTGTGTGTTGTGTGGTGTTTAATGGGCCATTTAGATGAGCTGTCCCCTGGCAGTTTGGGGCACAGGAAAAATCTCTCAGATCCTGCAGAGCCGTGTCCGTTTTCCAAACCCGAGCTGGCGCTGGTGCAAAGCTTCAATCTGCTGAACTCTGAAGACTGGTGAGAAATAATTAATCCATCATCCTCAAGCATCTCTTTGAATGTGGACCACAGAGTAAAATTATTACCCTTTGTGCGTTGTTATTTTCGAATGTAGGGAGAAGAAGATTGAAGGACTGACATTCCTGCGCTCTCTTGCACACTATCACTCAGATACACTTCAGGCTCGGCTTCATGATGTTTGCCTATCTCTCATTCAAGAGGTAATATAATTTTTTGAATAACAATCCCACTTAATTTTGGGAATCTATGCATGGCGGTGTTTGACTCTGCTGTTCCAGTTTTGCAATTCTATTTAATTTCTCTGCGTCTTAATAGTTTTGCTTCATAATTATATATAGTCTCAGCCATAATTGCTTGGCATTTTGCTAAATTCCCATTGGAGATTTTTTTTTGGTCAAATAGATATCTTGAATATGTAATCAGTGCTCATTTACTCTTCTTATACCTTAAGGACTAATATTGTTAATCTTATTTAGGTGAAGAACCTGCGGTCGGGTGTGTCCAGGGTTGCCGTGTGTACCCTGGGTGACCTGTACACACACCTTCAGCGAGCGATGGACCAGGAGCTAGAGGGGACAGTTAAAGCTTTACTGCAGAAGGCTGGGGAGAGTAATGCCTTCATTAGGCAGGATGTAGATGCAGCACTGGATTGCATGGTGCAGCACTGCACCCCTACTCGAAGCATCAATGCTTTACTTACTGGAGGACTCAGGTTAGATTACACACAGGACAGCTCTTTGTTGTTTGTTTGCTTCTTCTCTGTTTGGATCACTACATAATTTTAAGCTTTGATTGCTGAATTGATTTCCTCCTCTGCTGATAGTCACCTTAATGCAGTGGTGAGGAAATGTATGGCTCAACATCTGGCTAATTTGGTTGAGAAGGTTGGTGCTGCACGTCTCCTTTCTGGGGCTAAAGATCTCACTGACAGAATTTTACCTGCCGTGGTCAAACTCGCACAAGACTCCTCACAAGAAGTCAGGTATGTAAAAAAAAACTTTCATATTAATTCATTCAATTTTTGTGTTTTAACTTCTTTACAACTTGTTCATATTTGCTTGAACGGTGAGATTATATTTTTATGTATTGCCAATAAAAAGCATTCAGCAATAACAGATAACAGTGGGAGGAAAATGTCAAATTTGAGACATTTTAAAAGTCTTTAGACCATCAAAAGGATATAGTACAATCCAAATCTACTTTCGGTTTTGCTGGAATTGATTTTGTTATTGTTGACACTATTTGTTTTGGTGTCACTGTACTGTAATTACCTTGCATTTCATTAAAATATGTTTAGAAGTGCTTTTCTGTTGCTTTTGGACTGCAAATCCAAAGTGCCACTTTAACAAATGAATGATATTACACCTTCTCCCCTCAAAGGTACTTTGGCCGTCGAATGCTGCTGTCCCTGTCTTCCCACCCAGAATTTGAAAAGATCCTGGAGAAATACATCCCTACGAAAGACCTGCAGACTGTCAGAGACACCGTCTTCACTCTAAAGACAAAGGTACCGTTTCTTTCTGTTTATGTTTACAGGAAAATTGGTATTTTCCCTGGAAGTTAAATATAGGCATCTAAGTCTGAGATTGTTGGGGGGGTTAGGGTCTTGGTGAGATGCCTCAAGATACTCAGTCAGCCCGAGGCAGACGTTCCCTCCCGGGCAGCGGTACAGTCAGAGCCTCATCGCTCAACAGAGAGCCACTCAACCAGACCAACAGGTGGGTGTAGATATCAACCAATGCACCAGAGTAGCCCATTAAGGCAAATTTATTTTTCACAAATGTGTAATACATATGGAAAACACGTGAATTGTGATGCATTTTATATACAGGGAGTCTCACAGCCATTACAGCTGTAGATCTCAGACACAGAGTTTTGCAGACAAGACTGAGTACATCAAGCAGATCTCGGATCTGCTGGCGTCAAAGGACTTCAGAGAGAGGATCAAAGGCATCGACCAGCTAGTGGCTGACTGCCAAAACAACCCAAACATGGTTATCAACAGTATATTCCCGGTTAGTATTTTCTTTTTTTTTTCTCCAAATCCATTTAGTACGTCTTTATGTACATTGTGGTCTTTTCATTATAATGACAAAGTGTTTATCCTTCACTTTCTGATCTCCCTAATTCTAGGTGTTTGATGCCTTCAGAGCCAGGCTGCAGGAGTCCAACAGCAAGGTCAACTTGTATGCCCTGGAGTCTTTACAGAAAATCATCCACTTGTTAAAGGACAACCTGTCCCAAGTGGTCAACATCCTGATCCCAGCAATCGTGGACAATCACCTCAACTCAAAGAGCAATGCCATCTGCTCTGCTGCTATTGGAGCTATTAATGCACTCATCTTAAATATAGGTACTTACTTGAGCATTAAAATAGAGGAGAAAGTTTTGATTAAAAGATTGCTTTAATTTGACTTTCATTTTTTTGCCTGCTACAGACAACATACTTCTCCTTCAGCCTTTTTGCGCCAAGGCTCAGTTTTTAAGCGGGAAGGCAAAGGTGAACCTTATCGAAAAGGTCGCAGGTATGTCTGGTGTCCTAGTTCTGCACTGTAATCAGCTTCTGCTTTGATGTATCTAAATGTAGTGTATTGCTTCTCATCTTCTATATTTAGATCTTGTGGCAGAGCTCTACCCTCGTAAGCCCCAGATGGTAGAGCAGAAAGTGCTGCCCTTGCTCTGGCACCTCTTGGGCACCTCTACCCACAGCGGCACCATTCATGGCCGGGGCGGCAGCGTAAGGGGTGCTACTGCCAACCTGTGCCAAGCCCTTTATGCCCAGATGGGGCCAAGCCTGAGCGAGTGTGCCGCCTCCCAGCCTGTCAATGTCCATAAAAGTCTAAATGATATCCTGAGGACCTTATCGTAAGGTAAAGCAGACTCCAAACAGAACCAAATGTCGAAAGAGGGACAGCATTAAAACTGATCTTACTTGAAGATGTTTCATTATCATTTCTTATAGTGCCTGCACTTTTATATAAACACAGAGAAAGTCCTTAAGAAGTTGGAGCTCTTATTCTTATCTCAGTGAGATTCCGTCTGGTACAGAAGCATGGATGGCTGTAACATAATGGCATCAGGTCTTTTCACATGTCCAACCTGCTCTCTTTGCACTTTGAAAGTAGCTCATTGTCGTTGCTTTGTTTTTGTTTTTCCATAAACTCTACATGTACTGTAGACAAATCAGAGACACTATTGCAGAATGTAAAATTAAAATGCACAAAAAGGAGAGGAAGAACACAGGGACCTGAAAGTTGTATATTTTTGCTGTTTCATCAGATGTGATGTGATATTTTTAAAATATCTTTATGTAGTTGGAGATTTTTGAACTGAGATTAACAAGCATAGTACAAAAATACTTTTGTACAGCTCAAATGTGTATTTGCACAGTATTAGCTTATTCTATATGTTTGCTGTATGACGGTACAGTTATAATTTATCTCTTGTGTAATGGTTTAAAAGTCATATATAATGTGCTGAGTTGGTACTATGTCTCTTTTTGCATGACCAAAATTTACTGGCAGATCAAAACTGTTGATTTATGTGTACGTGGACTCGTAGAAGAAGGTTGGTCTCGAACTCTGAGAAGGGAAAAATTTTACTTCTTCATTTGCCTGAGAAACAGTCACAGCCCAGGTCTGATATTGTCTCAATATAGTGCCAGTCTTCAAGTAGCCTTTTAACTCATCTATTGTTAAATTATAACTGAACTTGTTTGTGAACAAGAGCAAGAAGATATATGAATAAACTGTTTTATTTCTGTAAAACCAACTTCAGCGTGCGTCATTCAAAGACTGAAAATGGGGTGGAAGGATTAACTTGCTAATCACAAACATAGATCATTTTTAAAATTGAAAGATGACTTCTGTCCATTAAACACACATTATTAATCTTAGGTAATCTAATATAGCTTTATTAATAGGTGGAGTTACTGGAAACACAAGCTTCAGGTGTTCTTTTTTAATTCCTTATGCTTCATTCATGACATGCTTAGTAAAAGCTAACCATAACTAGCCTTCTGATGACGACTACACTTCATTTGTAAAAAAACAAAAATGTCTGGCTGTAAAGAATCCTTGAAAGAGGACTGATCAAAGGCTTGAAAAGAGGTAGGCTTAGCACACGATTTTGGAAAAAAAAAAGGGGGGGAGCATTGCTTCAAAATGCTCTCATGTTTAACAGTGAACACTAATATCTCTGTAATTCTATGGTCATGATTAAACATGACATCCAAAGTACACTCTTGGGTTTGTAATTTAATAAAACACAAATCATAATCACTGAACCTTTATATCAAAGTAGCTGCCATTTTGAAATAGCACTGTTTAGAAATCTATGCTAGCTGCAAAACACTACGCATGTGCGGTCCTTGTAAGACTGAACAAACTACTGTTTGACCTTCATGCAATGGTACGTGATTTTCTAGCATTTCAGCAGCAGGGTGAACTAGCTTGTGCTTGGAGGGATGCTGCTACTGCTGTTTTTATTTTTTTATTTTTTTTAAAGAAAAGCCTAAAGGTAATCCTGTCCAATACAGCAGCTAAACTGCACATAATTCAAAATTGATATCAGCAATATACACAGAAAATAAACATTTTGTTTTCCACGTCCAGTGTTTTCCAATAGCAAACCTTTAGCAAAGATATAAAAATGAGGGAGTGCTTTCAGAATAAGAGCAAAACTCCCTTTAAACTTCAGAGCTAGCCACAGTGGTGCTGTCAAAAGGGGCGAATGTGTTTGCTACTTGAATGTGCAGATTCCTTACCTTTGCTTACGGATGCATACAGTTAGATGGAATATGTCACAGATTAGGCATATACATACAACAAAAAGAAACAGTATAAATATTTCGAAGTCTCATTAAATGTGCTTTTTGGCATGAAAAAAAACAACAGAGCCATTGAGTTCACTCACCTGGATTGACTTCTTTCTTAAAATTATGTAACTCAAAACTAAAGCCAAGGGAAAGTTAACATACAGGATATTCTCACAGATTCCTGATCAGTTAACCATCGAGTTTCTTTTTTTGTGTTATGAATGAGAGCGGTTCATGATTTTGACCGAGTGTTCAGTTAATGCTCTGCTGCTCTCGAGTCCTTGCTTTGTTCCCTCAGCTTCACTGACCCAATGGAAAAAACGAGCCCCTCCTCCCGTTGATCTTTCCATCCTGTTACTAAGGCAGCTGGATCGATTCCACGTTAGACGAGTGTGTGGTTGCCATCCCGTACACCTCACTCTGTCAGGGACCAGATGTCTTGGGCAGGTCCTGATTCTCAGCCAAGTGGAGCTTTTGTCTGAACGTGCACACATTAAGGATTCACCACAGAAGGACTTTGAACTGAAAACACATCATTCAAATCCAGCATCCGCTCCTGGACTGTCGGGGCAATTCCCATAAACAAACACGCATTCGAGCTAAGAAAAGGATACATTGAGGTGCTGAGCTCTTCAAGCTGCAGAAACAAAGTAGCAAACAGGAGAGAGGGGTATTGAAAACAAAGCCAAAAATAGAAAGTGAAGCGCTAGTACCTGCCAGTAATCTCACTGTGGGATCATGTTACATAACAGCCTGTGCATTTCAGATCAATATTTGAGTTACGCTCTCATCATCGACTGCAGTGTTTCCAGAAGCAAACGTTAAGCTTCGATACAAAGTAAAGTTGCTTCATAGCCCATCTGCTCTGAGGCCCAATTATCCACTCTGGCTTCAGCTAGAAGCCAGAGTATTCCTGGCAGCAGTGTCTGTAAATGAGTTGAAGGGTTTTTCTCACCTCAGTCACACAGAGCACTGCAGCTACAGTAGGAGCCACACAACAAACGAACAATAGAAACTGTCAAGGCATTCTTAGATGGCACATCACTGTACGAGAGAGCTTTTGTTTCCTTTTTCCTTTTTAAACGAGCCAATAGTTCAACAAAACTGAATTTCATGTGGAAAATTACAGTAATAGGATTTAAATTCATTGGTTTGTGCAAATAAAGAAATTCACATTTTCCTTCAGTCTATAGTACCATTTATCAAAGGGTTTTTGTTTGAGATGCCCAATTGTGGAGATATTAGCTCTACAAACTTTCCCTTTCATCACAGCCTTCTCATGTGGGGGAAAAAAACCAAACAAAAGCATCTGAATGTCTTCCTCCAGAAATCATATTGCTCAAAAAAAAAAAAAAACAACAACACAAAACCCACACTATAAAATGTACAGCCACCTAACATTACAGCTCGACTAAGGAGTACAAGCCTTGGCACCATTTTATGGAGCATTATGGTGAGATTTGAAACCCAGTTATTATCATCAGGTTAAGTCTTTCTGTTCCCAAGCACAGCCAAACAGTTATGTGTATGTTGATAACTAAGTTTCTTACCAAAGCACAATTGGAAATCCTAACATCCATCAGCATGTCCACAGGAAAAATAGATACTAACCAATGAAAACAGGAGCCTCTGAGGAAATATGTAAATAAATGTAAATGAAGGAGTAAGAAAGTATCTTCCCAGGTGTGCCTGGGAAAAGACAAACTTAACTCTGTGAATACTGGGAGTTAAATCACACTTCAGGATTACATAAAATAGTGCCACATCCTGTGGGCGTCGGCTCTGCCAGCTGATTGGTCTGTACACCTGACCCGATGAGGAAAAATCAAACGGGACAATGTTAGACTAGTTAGGTAACACAGATTAATGCAAGTCTATTAGCAGGAACCACAGCTGTTGCGTGGGAGACTTGTGTCATCTCCATTCACTCCAGTGGACCTTGTTTTGTTTTTTTTTTTTTTTAGGGTGGTAAGGTGGTAAAAAATAGTAGTCTGTATGTTATCAGCACACAATGAAACTGCTTGAAGGGTTTTATGATCCAGCGAATTCTGAAACCTGGCATGACCCCGATTTAACGGCTCTGGCCGACTAGCCAACCCAGTGAGATCACATTCTGTACAGGCACAAGATGGTGCTACATGTGCTCCTTTAAACACTTATTTCTTAAATCCAGCTCTACAGATGGTGTTAAATCTATAGCGGTTTTTCAGAGTAGAGCTCCGTGATGTAAACTAGCCTTAATAAATGTGGTGTTTCATGTCCACTTTAAAAAGCTGCTGCCACTGGGATTCATGCTTACGTTGCAGAGCAGGTGTTCCAGGTTGTGGTCGGAGGCACATTTCCTCTGGTCCTCGGAAAGCTCTTCCACGTGGCTGTCAAGGCTGAAGTGCAATCGTGCCAGCTTTTCCTGCATTTCCCGCACGTGTTCGAGCTGCTCAAAGGAGCATACTTTACCTGGAAATCAGACAGGTTAAACCAGACCTGAATCTGATGGCACAGTGTGTCGTGTCTTGTGATTACATCAAAGTCAAAAGTATTTCCATGGCAGCAGAGGCGTAAAAAAATAGCACAGCGTGTATTTGATTTCAGCCTGATTCATGTAACAAAGCCACTTTTCACCCGCCTTTATTTTCAGCCAGTAACAGAATACTCTCCTGGGGGGGGGCATCTTATCAAGGTTAGCTTACCGAAAGCTTGCAGTTTGCCTGAGTGGAAGTCATTGAGGAGGTTGAGGAGGCCTCCCTCCATCTCTCTCACATCTGAGACATCGGTGAGGAAGGAGTGCTGCAGGGGGGACGACTGGACTACTTTACTGGGCCCTGCTGGCTGGGGGGCCCTGGGCTTCTCCCTGTGGGGTCTGACAGGAAAAAAAAACAAGATAACATTGCAACTATTTATTTTTGTTAACACATGACAACATTTAAAAAACAAGCAAAACAAAAGCAACAGCCGGTCGAACCGAATCTGTATCCTGCTGTATCATCAAATGCAGGTGAAACACAGCGTTGTCTTAGTGAGTTATTTTATTGCTGGTCTTGGAGGAAAACCTGATGCATTAAACCATTTCTTTCTTATTTTGAATGTGAAACACCATTATCCCTGAACGTACACATGCTGTCTGCCCCCCCCCACAAAGCAGTGCAGTCCTGGTAGGTCTTCCTGCTACATTAAGACACAAACCTGGTGATCTTTGGTGGAGCAACGACCGCTGCGAACACGTCTTTGGGCTGTCCCGGTGCTCCTATGGACCTTTTATATTTGCCTCTGTTCTTGGGGGAGGGAGGCTGCGGCAGGCCGAGGGAGAAGGTGGCACTTTTGCTGGCAGGCAGGACGGAGAGCTTGCGGGGGTTGATGGGTGGTGGAGGCGGTTGGGGGAGGGACACTTTTGGGCTTCGCTTCTTGCGCTTGTCTTCCATTGTTATTTACTTAGTTCTATTAGGAGAAGCTCCCTGAGGTGCAGCCTGGCTGGTGTGCAGGAAGTCCTGAAACGACAACGGTAGGAAGTTTGAAAAGCAGCAGCCTGTGGAGGATTGTCATTGTGCCTAAATTAGTGCTGCAGCCCAGAATGCTCCCCTCTGCATGTTTAGGGAAGCTTGAACTGGCTTAACAGCATCCCCAGGTGATTACAGTAAAATCCAAAACAAACAGTTCCTCCACTATTTATAATTTGATAAGAAATATATGGGCACATATTTCCTGTATAGGATTTATTCGGTAGATAATTAATGGTTTTGCTTCCTTGGTGTTTAAAAAAAAGAAAAAAGAAGAAGGTGACACTGCAGACTCTGAAGATATTGAAAGTGGAATAAGGTTAGGAAAATATGTGTGAACTAAACTGGATGGTGTACATTTTTTTAACTAAACCTAACTAACTAAACTAAGCCTGCGTGAGTGATGAAGAAATCAAGGAACGCACTTTAACAAGGAAATGTACTCTATTGCACCAAGAGCCTATAAAACAATACGCCATCATCCAAAATAAACATAACTTTTAGACAAAAGGCTCAATGAAAGTCTGTGTAAGACTGTGCGATAAAGACATTAAAGGCCATTAGAATTTAATGCGTCAGTCAATAAATGCATTCAGTCTAAATATTTTATGAATTATGATTTTTACAGAGGCGCATTAGCATTAAAAGACACGAGCTCGTGTCGGTTTTCAGCGTCGTGAAACTGTTACAGCAGAGAGTCCGTGTTTGTCGTTGCTTAGTTACATTTTATGGTGGTCTTGCCTTGGATTTATCGCGCTCTCTCATTACAATGAATGCAATCTATGTTGTGACAGCAGTTATCTGGTGAACACTGCGCCAGCCTCTGTTCAAAGTAGGAGCCAAAGATGGCCACTACAGTAATACACAATGGCAACTTTCTGCGCTGAAATCCTGCTTTTAGCGGGAGAATTATTCTCCCGAGTAAAGAACAATAAGCGGACTGCGGGTCGCTGCGCCACCGGGTTCAGTTCCGTGAAAGGAGACGCGTAAAGGGAACGCATCGTCTGCTGATGACACAAATAAGACTTACCGAATCAATTACGCACCAGAGAGCAACGCCGGCAGGGCGCCGGCTCGCATTTCTCCTCCTAGGATTTAAAAGTCCACTTCATATGAATCCTGGTGTTAAAAAGAAATGTAATACAGTGGCACCGAACGATCCGTACCCGGTGTTTTTACCGATGAAATGTAAAGAGCGTCGATGCCGCGCTTGGCTCGTGCGGAGCTCAGCTGTCGTGTTTATTCCTCTTAAAGGGCCAGTCCACCCGGCCGTGCGCCACGGGGGGAGGAGCGACTGTTCCACGCAGGTTACTGACTGGCAGGATGCTGCTGTGCACCGCCTGAGGATGGCTCTTTGTAAACATCCTTACTGCTCCATCAAGGCTCCGAGGGTGCTACAGAACAAGGCCACACGGGGACGCCAGTGTTCATCTTTTGCCAACACCACTGACGTGTTGCAGTGTTGCAGGATGTAAACAAGGAATTTCCACGCTTTTTTGACTTTCCTTGTGGCCATGGGCGTGGGATTTTGATGGATGGGATGGGAATTTGATCCGTTGAGGTGGGGGGAATTTTGTGTTTTTTTCTCCTCAGATGAGGAGAATTTTTAGCCTTTGTATGAAAAGTATTTTTTTTCCCAACGGATGTTAAACACAAGAATTTTTGAACATAGCTTGTCCACACACCTCAGTTTCATTTTAGATGAAAAACTAGCAACATGACTGAAAAAAAAGCTTATAAGTTGACCTGAATTTCAGGCAGAAGTAATGTCCTTATGCTGGACCTTTTTGTTTCTTGTTGTCACTCCTCCAAGCTGCCTGTGTGTGCAGAACCAGAGGAAAGGATGCAGGATGTGGTATGCGTCTGTTTGTTAACAAAAAGATTCGGTTGTTGTATGAGTGCAATGCAATGTTTCTCTTACTGCTCAGTAAATTAAACTGACAATGCCACAAAATAGGGAAATGTGGGATCTTGCAACAGAAGAAGCACGATGGCATTGGGACATCTCAGCCTGAGCTCAACCAGCTGGAACATACAGGTCAAACAGTACTATGCAACAAGCTCAAGCCACCATCATTTCTTTTTATTTTGCTCCCAAGGATTCACACTTTCCTAAAAAAAAATTTTTAAAGTGGTATTGAGCAATAATTCTCCAGTTTTTTTGGAAGTCTTTAAAAGATTTTCTTTGGACATTGGCTGCTTCTTCACTCATTTTCAATCCAGTTCTTGTATCTTACTATTTTCAAAGGAATGGTGTTTTGGTTCCTAACCTACTTAGAAAAGGCCATTGTTAAGGAAGGAAAACTGGAAAATTAAACAAGAACTGGACTGAAAATCAGTGGAAACGGGTCTTATGGACATGTGAATCAGTGTTTCTATTTTCTAAAAAGAGAAGAAACTGTAGTTTTTAAATTCTAAACTTAATGCTTGGAGTCTGGCGAACACCAAGGCATCAAACGGCAAATGAATTCTTCATTTTTAAATCAATCCCAAAAGAAATAGCATGTAGGATGATTCCACTCCTGCATGGAGTTCCCATTATGAAGGAATCCACAGGGACACCTATTCACCATTATTACTTGTAAAGACATTTTGTAAGCAGCGTGGACTGAGAATAAAACAGAATCCAACAAGGTTTAAAGTAATACAAAAATATTTCTTTTTATTATGGCAGGTCAGAACAAAAATGTGACACAAAAATGCCGTTTGTAGAAAAAATACAGAGATCTTAGGCTTGTTTATCTTGTTCCAAACGTGAGTGAGACGAACAATAACTTAAGTCTAACTAACTTTGTGGTCTGATGAGTTGTTTGAGTATGCGTATGCCTTTCCAAGAACTATTCTGTCTCTGAGGAGCTTGAAGAAGGCGTAGTAGTTGCTGAAGAGAATCAGGGCCAGCGATATCGTCTGATGCCACTTTTCCGAGCATATCAACGAGTAGAGCTGGTAGAATATCATGGCACCTTCGAGGATGATGAGTATGTTCAATATTCGTAAAGGCTTGTTGAAGAAGAACTAGAGTAAGAAAGAGGATCAGTATGAGCACAGCTCTGTAAAGGCTCTGATACCAGTTCTGGTTCTACAAGACCTCTTCATTTAGGTATACTCACATAGAAGCGATAATGGGAAACATCTGATGGGACTGCAACATTATAGTGGCCCATGGCCTTATATACATTCTTATTATGTTTTACCAGGACTCCCTGTGGCCACATGTACTCTTCAGTCCATCTGTGTACAAAAAAAACAGGTAAAAGTTAACTTTAAATCTAACTAAAATTAGTCTGACTGAACATAAAATGCAATAAACTAAAAGCAGTGCATACATGTGTTGGAGGACATTGGAGCAGAGTGAGGGATCTACTTTTTGCCAGCACCCGAGGTGGGCTGCAGCTTTGTGAAGCAGGTCACAATATCGAGGGGGCAGCAAATGCCTCATGAGGATGACTGAGGTACTGACTGACACCAAGATGAAGAGCTCACAAGACCATCGCTTATCCACATACTGGGTACTCTGAAGGCAAATATGTAGAAACTTTGAGAAAAGCTCATAAATCATATTGAATTAAAGTTGCAGTGAAGTCCAACAGTTTCCTACCTTGACAAACCACACAGGTACGAATGCCACATAGTAAGCACTGAGCATTGAGCTGACCAACACCTCCTTCATCCTCCAGTTAAAATCCATCTTCAGGTACTCCACCTCCTTGCGGATTAGGTCAGGGGATAGACAGCAGGCGTGAGTGGGCATGGCCTGGACACCATACAGCTGGCTGGTGTGCTGCTTCCATGTCTCCTTGAGCACAGTCAGATAATCCCTGCCCCGGCCGACGCCGCCGACCTCTTTGGAGCCAATGCTGGTGATGGGTGAGAGCGGAACTGCTCGTCGGAAGTCACAGCTCAGTCGGAACAAGGGAATATACATCCCAAATCTGTGGGGGTGGGAGGGGCTGCAGTTAATTTCTACAGATCATAGCAAGACTACAGCTGGGGTCGTAGTAGAAGAGTAAAGAGCATAAACTGAGAGTCACAGATCTTTGTCATATTAGTTCAGAGTCCAATGATACCACGTATGGTTTAATATTGCATATGACACACCATCTGCACATATTCTTGCTAGCTCATTTTCCTAGAGCCACCAATGGAAAAATATTTCCACAGGACATGTCAACATATTTAAACGCAGGACCTGCATAGTATGCTCATAATGATTCCTTAGATCAGGGGTGTCGAACTCCAGGCATTGAGGGCCGGTGTCCTGCAGGTTTTAGTTAACACCCTGGGTCAACACACCTGAATCAGCTGATTAGTTCATTACCAGGCTTCTGGAGAACTTCAGGACATGTTGAGGAGGTCATTTAGCCCTTTAAATCAGCTGTGTTGGATCAAGGACACATCTAAAACCTGCAGGACACCGGCCCTCGAGGCCTGGAGTTCGACACCTGTGATTTAGATGATTCCTTTCAAAAAATAAATAAATAAAAATAAAAACCCACAGTCATGGATCAAGATTTGACCCATAGTATACCAAAGGCTCTGTAATCAAGCACTCTGAGGTTCACCAAACAGAACTTGATCTGCCTCTTGAAATGACATGCAAACAAGCCACGCTATCAAATATGAAAGAGAATAGGAGCTACTTCACTGTAACTGGATTTCTTTATTTAAATATTAATGTGCAACAAACCAAAGCTGTGTTTTAGGTAGGGCACTGGCATAATGTGGTTCACACAACTTTTAAGAGAGGGCAAAAGTTGTGTATACTACAAAAGCTGGTTTTAGTCCAAATGCTTCATATCTATAAGTTAACGACATGTGAAACATTAGAAGGAGCAAACACAGCTCAAAACAAAAGTTATTTGCACTGAAAATTCCTTCTGGCGTTTGTGGCCTGTTAATCGGGGGGTTAATGTGGGCGGGAACAGTGGTTAAAAAGCAGATGGCTGAATCTACTAAGAGCAGTAACCTTCAGAGCGAACAGCCATGTAGGTCAGCTGATCACAGCACAAAGAAAACAAATGAAGCCATATTAAAACATAACAACTGTTCAATCAGTGTGAGAAAGACAACAAGGATTCAGTAAAATAAGGAAGCCTTGATATACTATACTTACGGGTAGCAGAGGAAGAGCAGGCTGAGGACTGAATAGGTTCTGAAGAGGTAAATGAGAGAGCGGCACAGGCTCCAACCTGTCAGCGTTAGCACTGCGAACCGCGCCATCACTAAAAAGATCGAGTGAGGGAAAGAGAGTTTCCCACTCTGTGACGCCTGAGGCAGAGGAGAAGAGAGGAGAACAGTCAAATCTTTCACAGCAGGACATGATCAAAGATGTCTGAGAAACCAAGCACAACAAAAAAAAAAAAAAGCACGTAAAGAAAAATTGAATCCATTAAAATTCTTAAAAGTGTGCTTCAGGCATGTATCTGAAGATACTGTTTTACTACAAGAAGAATCTTTAAAAAGGAAAATCGTTAAACTGAAGCGGAGCTGTGTGCAGACTGATTTCTTCCTTACGTCTCTGTTTCATCTGGCCTTCTCGGCTGGAAATTTCCTTATAAGTATGAAAAAAAAAAGAACGGGGTACAGTCTTTCTGCATGAGGTGTTTTTGAGAGCCTTGGATTAATAAAAAGTGACACAAAAGCCAATAACTGAATTCTTACCTCTTTAACAATGGCTGCGATTAACCTCCTTGCTAGTATGATGATGGTGAACACCAGCATGTTATAATCAATAAGATGGAAGTTCTGTAAAAACATAGATTTTTGCTCCCATGACATTTTCCACATATTCTGTATAAACTGTGCCTACTGGCCTACGAAGAGGTTGATCAACAAAGCAATTGCTGAAACATTCTTTGTCAAAACACTGAACACCCAAGTGCTCACCAGTGATGTGTGTGAGGGAGGGTGAGATGCGGGGTACCACCACACAGTCTTGTAGATGTTGACATAGTGCACAAAGAGCGCAATGAGGTGGCAGAAGAAAAGGTGGAGCTCGAACAACACATTTCGATCCATGGACAACTCTGGGATCTTGCAGTGTTTCAGAGGAACCACGGTCTGGGCCGCGAGAGGAGGACTGGACATGCACGTCCCTGGGCTGTTCCTGCTGACAGATCAGATGGCACAGAAGTTCCTGAAGAGGCCACGGAGGAGGCACACACAGACAGATCGGGAGCAATGTGTCAGAGTTTGACCTACCTAGTGCGAGATCTCACCCCTGTGACTGGGGAGCTGGTTGTGTGATTTCCATTGCCAACTGAGCCTGAATCACTGCTTAACGGAGGTCTGCAGTATGTGGTACGATTTGCTCCTCTCCTTCCACCAGCCATTGTGGACACACCCACGGCACACCTCTTTCAATTGTTTTGGTGATATGTCCTCTCCGTGTTTTTGTACCTGTTTGTACAAATGCAGCAGGCGAGAGGATTCATATAGAATCCAATATTACTTAAATATTAGACTTAAACCAGTCTGTAGTATCTATCTATCATGAAAGACACACTGTACTGCCATAAGTTGACATTGTGAATGGCTCAAATAATAAAACTAGGCGTGCACAGAGCCCAAACAAACAGCAAAGAGACCCCTCTGCAACATGAAGATCTGACATCCAGTGAATCATAAATATGCATGACAAAGAAGTTTTCACCAGCTGCAAAAGCATCCCTCGCTCTAAAGTGCAAGTTTTTGCGGAAGCTGATATTAAAAGCTAAGCTAAATAGCTACACCATTTGCTTCACTCGCAGGTGAAATTTGTTTAGAAAACCGTGTGTGTTAGAGATACAGGGCTGCAAGGCGAACACAACGTGGAGCTACACAATGAGGCACGGACCTCAGTCTGTCCGCCAAGAGCATGCATGACTAAATATCAAGACTGAGGCCTAGGCTAGCAGTAGCTTTGACTAGCTAGGTAGCTTCTAACCCACCAAACAGGCTAGACAAGGAAATGTACGCTTACCAGTGTCTGATGTCTGAGTCAGATGCTGCTCTGTAGCAGAGATAATGAACTAAACACAATAAATTTTTAGAATATTTATTGAAATAATGGCGTGTATGTCACTGACAGCAGCAGAAACACTCATTGTTGATGTGAAACTAGCCGTAGACAGACGGCGGAGCGGATATGTTAGCGAGCTGTGGGAGGAGAGTCATTTAAAGGGATATTCCACTTATATTTAACCAAGAAAGGAAAGAAAGGTGTTTTTATCGATTAAAATGACGATTTAACACAGGGGTATAAGACTAATTTCAGTTCATGTGTCAGATACACGAAGTCTAAAATGTTCTAATAGTCTACTCTGAAAAACATCCTCCATATATAATTGTTGCTCCTTTACTGTAAAGACATTTTCTTTTAATGTACGATAAATCTTTTTTGTTTGTTTGTTTTTGTTTTAAATATTTCGGTAATTCTATCTTGATTTTTCCACTGAACATTTCCTAGCTGTTTTGCACCTTTTGAAAAGCCTCTCTAATGTTTCCTTATACTTGGTAGTATACGATCACAGGTTTCTCTATATAATTTTTACGTATTAACTATGTAAACATTATCTAACATTTCCCTACGTATATATATATATATATATTATAAAATGAATTAATAAATAATACAGTTCTTATACAATATATATAGTACACACAAACTATAATATAGATATGTATATAGAGTATAACAACTTTAGATAAATTGTATAAAAAATAAAATTATTACTGTAATTAATACTCTAACCTTTAATCATAAAACATGTTAAGGCGCAGAATATTTCCTATTTTCTACTGTCACCTACCTTAAAAACATTTTTTTTAAGTGAATTTGTATATTACACAATTAAGAAATGGCAAGTTTTTCGTGTTTTGATGTAGTACAAAACTACTTATTTACTTTGGTGTAGGATGCCATGTTGTAGACAATGACTCTGTAAGAAGGCTGTAAAACCAATGAAAATACATCAGATTTTATGCCTTGATGATACAGTTTTCACATTTCTCTGTGTCATTCAGTTGGCCAGATTGGAGTCTTTGGTGCTCTGGTTCTGACCCGTAATCAAGGAGGTGTTGTATGAGATACAGTGTGGTTCATCACTGTATATTTGCACAATTTGCTGTATGTTTATTTATTCAATTATTTATTAACATTTTACAGTTTTGAAATTTCTTAGTAGCTGGCCACAAGATGAATAATTTCCAGTGAACAGTTTCTCTTCTTTGTATGTTTTTCTTGACTAATAATTTACATCACAGTCCATTGCAAAAAATATATAAAATGTTAATTTTACCTTTATTGACGTACTTGTACCATTTATGGTTTAGTGTACTTTTCTTAATTTTAAAGAGCCCTCTAATTATGTTAATAACCTTTCTATAAAAGAAAAGAAACCCAGCGTTGCCGTAAAACTCACTGTGTGCGGTTCCTTCTTCAGTAGCGCAAAGGTTGCTGATGCAAAGTACGGGAAAACACCTGAAATGTACTCTATGCCATGCTAAGCCATCCAGCGGGCTAGACTGGACCACTTAGTTGGCCATTTCTAGCCTGCGAGCCATATCTTTAACTTCCCTGTTTCTGCACAGGATAATAAAAGTAACCTTTGTACAGATCAGTCTGCAAGAACTGTAATGCATCTCTGTATAATTTTATAGCTTGGCTTGACTGTTTTACATTTGTGAATAATACTGCCAGTTACCAACTGTGTTTTACAAAAAAAATACCCCAGCCCATCCAATCCTTTTTACATTTTGCAGTAGTTCAGTCATTCTACAGAGCAGATGCTGCAATATAGTACTCAAACCTACTTGGTTATAGCTGTAAAACCCTAATAAAACATTTCAATATTGCCTCATTGGTAAATAAAACTGAATATATATTTTAAGCTCAGGTTTTAAAACTCCACATATTCTATTCCTGTAGCTTAGATCACATAAAACCAGCATAACAATGTTTGTTTCACGTAGAAAAGCTAAGGAAAAACAATGGAGCCTGACTGATGTTAAAATTACTGAGTGGGAGGAATTAGTGTTAAATAGACTGTAAAAGCAGCCTTTGGTCTTAATGCAAAGAGAGGACACTTAAAGGGATCATTAGTCTAAAAGCCAAAAATCTAAATTAACAGACTACTTTTCCACATTTACTGGTGCCCTGCCAAACAAAAACCTCATTACAGCTCATGTGTAGATGTATGTTAAATTAGATCTTGCAAGAAAAATCTCAGTCTTGCACATACATGTTTAGAAAAGTGTCCAATATCCAAAGATTAAATTCTCATAGTTAAAAAGGGACAAAAATGAATGGCTTTCACTTTAAAAATATAGTTTTATTGATTTACTTCATGAGATAATGACAAACACCCTGTCAGCTCATTAACATAAATAATAATAAGGCACCGTCAATAGAAATCTGTAATTTTTTGTTCTTTTATTGTTAAATAAAAATGCAGTTAAAAAGAGTAAAATCTGTACAGATTCAAGAACGAGCATTCATTTAATGCCCGTAGACTCATCACTGCTAAAGCAATCTTACACAAAAGTCAAGCTCTCTCTCAGTCCCTGAGAGACGACTCAGTCTCAGAGACACTGCAAGGCCTCTGCTCTTTCCAGGAACGTCAATGGACCTGCTAACGACAGAAAGGAGAACTTAATCAGACGTAACACAACAAAGCCAACACTTATGTGTCAATTTCCATTCAACTGACCTTAAAAGGTCTGCCAACGCCGGAGTTCAATATATCAACTGCACCTACGCAGTTCTCAGACAACCTAAGAGGAGAAAACGAAATGAGATCTGGAACTCACAAGTGCCAACACTCAAACACAGCAGGTAAAAACATGCAAACTAATTTTATATTAAAAGTATCATGCAACTCAAGCATTTTTTTTCCTTTCGTCTCCACCAATGAGTTTTACGGCTTTGAGAGTGCTACTAGTAATTTTCATTTAATCTACAATCTATAGAATTATCAAGATGGTAATAAGTATTAGGTGAAATGAATGGGCAATTCTCGTTTTGTTTCTTTTTAAATTTGAGCAAGAGTTGCATCAACACCATATTGTTTTGTGCGGCTTATTTGGCCTGGAATGAACTACTAATAGCATAATTTTGTAATTAAAAATATGTTTTGGATGTTTTGGATGACTTGCATTACTTGGATGTTTTGCACAGAAAAAAAAAAATATCTAAAATGAGTGTTGGGGTTAGTTTTACCTTCTTGTGGCGATCTTTAGGCTTTTAGAATCCTCTCCCTCTGCGATTTTTTTCTTTTATAAAAACCAGCCAGCATGACTTTGCATCAAAGTCAAGTAAGATCCCTGCAAGCTTGATTTGAAATACTGTTGAAATTCGGTTATTTCAAGCGGCTGAAGATGCACGGCTCTCTTGAGAGCTTGAAGAGATGCACTAACTAAAGGTTAAATGACAATACATGTTCAAGCACTAATATCACTTTCAAGTCAAACATGTATTTGGCAGCACATTACCTCAAGGAACGATGAGCTTTATTTAATTTCAGTCCCCCCCCCCCCTTTTTTTTTTGTTAAGGTGTCATTACAAGTGGCATTTAGATAAAATTTTGAACAGGCGAAGAGGATAGACTTCTTGTAGAAAAAACAAAACCCAAAACAAAAAACCAAACACTGCTTTTGAATTTTAAAAATCAAAGTTGACGTGTATACATACAGCTTATTCAGCATTGTTGAAAACCACTGAGGACCATTTTCACAAACTGGAGATAATCCTTTGGTACAACAAAGGCAAAAATACCATGTTTAGGTTGATTAAAAAGAAACTAGAAACTTTATTGAAACACGCACTGCAGAAAGACATTGTTTTTTTGGGGATGTGTTTAGTTACCTATTTAGTCAAAAGGTACACAAGCATTAAGCATTTTGGAGACGGCACGACTTAAGCATACACAGTTTTCCTAAGGTTATATACAAAAAGACCGAGTTGGCTGTAGTCTTACGTACACAGTAAGTTATTAATCCTTCAAGCTTTACAAGAATTAGTCGATCAGCGATGATTTTGCAAGTAATAGAGCGACTTTTCATGAAATACCAATTGTAAAAGGGTGGCAGAAAATAAAGGCCTTTATTCTTTGTCAAATTGATTTCTACAGTTATTTTTTGTTTATTTGCTCTTTGGGAGTAAAGTCACATAACTAGATTTGTAATGCAATATAAACAAATAAGACCGTTTTAATCAAAATGGTTCTATTTGAGTTTGCAACTAAATCCGTTTAAGTTATTATAAATTTACAAATAGAGTCATTATGAATAATTTCTGTCCAGTCATGAAGGACTTTTTTTTTTTTTTACAAAACAAATGCAGCCTATGTGAGAAGATTTTAATCGCCACAATCACAGTTTGTGCAGGAACAAAAATATTTACCATCAAATATCTAACAAAAAAACTAAACTAAAAAAGTCATTTTGTTAGTTCTGTTTATGTCACTGAGACCTTAACTACGCAACTGAAACATAAACAATAGGGAGAAAAATGTTGCTCCTCTGGCACTAGGATACATCCAACAAAATGTCCTAGGTTTAAAAAAAATAAAATAAAAAGAGAAGAATGTTTTAAATAAAACCATTAACAAAGGAAACGAGAGGGAAATTACTTTTGTAAAGTCAAGCGTGAGTTACAATCGGAGACAGTTGCCACTGCAACTCTCTACCAGTAGTTGTTCAGTATCTTGGGTAAGGATGCTCTCTGTATGATCCCTTCGGCTGCCTAGATGGAGGGGCCTTGCCTCCAGCCCCGGCACCGGACCACGAGTTGTCCCAATCATCTTGAGCTACAAGAAGTCACATAAAAGCAGGGGAAACAACAACAACACAAAAAAAAAGATGCAAACATCAGCTAAAAGTCTGAAAGCAATAAAGCAAAAATAAAGATGCGTGTGATTTAAAGACTTACCATAACCGGCCTCATATGATGGATCCTGGGCTTCACCGTGTCCATAATCATAATACTCTGTATCCCTGAGGGCACATCACCAACAAGGGTTAAGACGGTATACTTAAATTATTAATTAAATACTTTATTTAAAACAAAACAACAAAAACAAACATTAAAAGAGACATGTTACATAAATTAAACTTTACTTACGCAGGTGCAGAAGGCTGGCTATAATAATTATCAT